CCAGCCATTGCTAACCATCTAGTAAAGGAAAAGATTTAAGGGCTAGCCTACACTATAAGGGACACAGACTGCAAATCAGGTCAGACTCTTCTGCCATTTTCCACCTTGCTTTTAAATAAGCAAAGAAATGAAGCACTAACTAAAACCTCAGGCTAGGCAAGCACTCTGACACATGCCACACATACTTAGTTGGCAGTTGCCTCATAGCAAACTTCATTTTTCATGGTTCCTCTGGCAACAATAAAAGAGTATTGAAGCATCTTCAGGACCTTGAAGCCCCCATGCAAAAAAAAAAAGTTGCAAAATAAATAAACTTCCAGTTTCTCTGAATTTTATGACTATTTGCATGTTATTTATATATATGGAGACAGAAAAAGGAGGAACTGGAAGAACCGTCTTGCTCTTTCTTGTTTTTCAAAATGTTGATAATTCCCATGGCTGCCTTATACAAAGACACAAGCATATTCACATTTTCAAAGAAGAATTTTAGTTTCTTGGGAAAAGGAAAGAAATTATTCACAATTCAGAAGCACTTCTCTATTAATATTGTAGGATGTTATCAGAGATCTATCTTTCTTCCATCCCCATCCTTTCATCTTTTTTTAGTGTTTAAAGAATTTACATTCAAAGTAGCTGGAGGTGACAGATCAGAAAAATATATTGAGGTCTGTAGAAACAGTTCTTAGGAAAGTAGCTAAAGGCTGGGCACGATGGCTCACACTTGTAACGCCAGCACTTTGGGAGGCTAAGGCAGGAGGATCACTTGAGGCCAGGAGTTTGAGACCAGCCTGGGTAACATAAAGAGACCCCTGTCTCTACAAAAAATTTAAAAATTAGCTGGGCATAGTGGTGTGTACCTGTAGTCCCAGTGACTCGGGAGGCTGAGGCAAGAGGATCCCTTGAGCTCAGGAGTTCAAGGCTGCAGTGAACTATGATCACTACACCGCACTGCACTCCAGCCTGGGCAACAGGGTGAGACTGTCTCAAAAAAAAAAAAAAGAAGACAACGACTGACCTAGTCACTGTCAATCAATGTGCCAATGTGCTCCGGAAGCCACCACACGCATTTACCATCTATTTAAAACTCAAGTCCCATTGATCAGCTAGACTATCAAGACTTTTTCCTTAATTAAATCTTCTAGTAAGACATTTTCATCACACAGGAACTGCCTAATTCTGCATATTCATCACCCCTCCCACACACACATACTTTTTTCCATTACTATCATCAATGTTGGGATTGGTCTTCACCTATAAACCCTAATCTGATTTGCAATGTGTCCTTATGAATCCCCTTTGAATTTCTAAAATTACTTTTCTTATTTCTCATTATCTGGACACCCTTATTTATAGGGTGACCATAAAATTTATCATCCATACCAGGACATGCTTTTGAGAGTAAAAAGCGGTACTATTAAATATGCTTTGACCACAAATAAGCTGGAGCTATGGGGCATACCAGGACCATAAGGTCACCTGCTTATTTAAAAATGCCTTCTATAGATTGTCCAGTCAATGGCCAACCCTAGGAAAAAATTGGTCTTGGTCTTGAGTATACTTCTTTTTTTTTTTTTGAGACAGAGTCTCACTTTATTGCCCAGGCTAGGGTGAGAGTGCTGTGGCGTTAGCCTAGCTCACAGCAACCTCAAACTCCTGGGCTCAAGCGATCCTCCTGCCTCAGCCTCCCGAGTAGCTGGGACTACAAGCATGTGCCACCATGCCCGGCTAATTTTTTCTATGTATATATTAGTTGGCCAATTAATTTCTTTCTATTTTTATAGTAGAGACGGGGTCTCAGTCTTGCTCAGGCTGGTTTGGAACTCCTGACCTCCAGCAATCCACCCGCCTTGGCCTCCCAGAGTGCTAGGATTACAGGCGTGAGCTACCACGCCCGGCCTTGAGTATACTTCTGTTCTCACATTGCAGGTATTCATGTTCTAACCCATGGGTCTTGCCTTCTGATGGTTATTGTACTTGGAAAATGATTTATAAATTAACATGTACTATTTGCCCATAACAGTTTATACTGTTTAGGGCTATTTCCACTCTCAAACATTGAAAAATCTTCAAGATATCATGGGATGATCTGTGGCTTCCTGGAGGGGGTAAGCCACAAAGATTCAAGAGGCTAAGTCCCAAGAGTGTTCAAACTAGGAGAGATAACTATCCATTCCTGAAGCCAACATTGACTCACTCTCACTCCCTATCTTGTATTTCATAATCATGTGATTAAATACAACCCACTAGATACAAAGGTCAGTGATCAAACTGTGATCCCACCATTTGAAGGTTCCTTTCATTTATGTAAGCCTATCTATAATTATAGACAGAAATAGGAATTAAGGGCTAATTGAACAAACCTTGGCATCTGATGTTTTTACTGGTGAGCAACTCTGAAACTCTACTTTGGAAAATAGTAGGTGAATAAAGAAGACATTCTGAAGTGCAAGTAGTAGTGTGGTGACAAAACTAAAGGAAAGGCCAACTTCACTTGACATAATAATGACTTAACAGATGGCAGAAGAGAATGCATAATAATTGGGAGATAATGCAGGTAACGTATGGATCTAACTAGAATTCAAGACACTATAAATGTTCTATCACATGATCTAGCAATGTGACTTCCACTATTCCTTGACTTTCCTGTTTAGCATGGTAAGGCTGATCAACCCTAGCTTAGAGTATTCATAAATTTTATAGCTAGTTAACTGTCCACCTATTACTATTTGTATATAATCATAAATAGAGTCATATTCCTGACCAATCACTGCTTTTCTGAAATAATGATTTTTTAATTTCTCTTTTCTCCAAAACTCATGACTTCTACACATAAATTGCTACACATGCTTCAGTTTAGTCAAGTGCTCTACCCTATTCCAGGAGAGTAAAAAGACCCATTTATTCATGTATCAAATATTAGCAGAGCCCCTATTATGTGTCCTGGAGCAGTGTGTGACACTGGTGTCAAAAATATGATTAAATTGCCCTTGAAGAACTAATTTAGTGTAGAGTTGTGCACATGTAAGCCTCACAACATTCTTTTGGTAAAGACTGCTAATGTGACTCCTCAAATCACACACAGGGAAAAAATTCTAAGAAACGTAATGCAAATCAAGCATGGATCAATTATCTTTTGAATCATACAGTTTCTTATACTAAGACTGGGCCAATTCAGATCAATTTAGAACAGTGGCAAAAATAATACCTTTATATCCAAGAACGTTGAGTTCTGATGGCAGCATTACCATTGGGATATTAATATAGGAACATCACTTAGCCTAGGCTTGGTCATCCATTAAGTGGAAAAAATAATGCTCATTTCCCACTGGTCTTCAGAGACTGGCTAACCAATAGATTTTATTTTGCTAGTGAGCAAATGTGCAAATTTTCCATACATGAGATTCCTTCGTTTTCTCTTATATTTTAAGAAGGTTGGCAGCCAAATGGCATCCCAGCCTCTAATCTCTCACGAGAGAAATACTACTTCTCTTTTCACAAATCTCATAATTTGAGCCCTATTGCCAACAGGGTGTTGTAGCTCACCAGGTGTCACCCTGCAACATTTTCTGCTAACAGGATGGCAGCTTGCCAGTAGCATATTCTGAATTACTGGGTTTCAGTATGATGTTGGTTGGTACAGGCTTGAATCGTGTAATCAAAATATGCCCAGATACTACCATAATGAATGTGTGTTTCCTTCTTTTTTAAATGTTCTTCCAGCCCCAATCTCTACCTAATAAAAATAATCAGGGGAAACTGTACTCCTTAGGATGAAATTTTTCCTTCTCCTGCCTGTTCCCCACAAACAGACCTCTAAATAATCTAGCAAAAGCAGCCCCTCCAACTCGCCAGTTTTTCTAAAACGTTCCCCACCCCCATCTTTCCTGGCACTCGCCTCCTTCCTTCACCTTTCTCACAGACACATGTCAAGCGCACACTATCGCTCCAGAAAAACACCACCAGTTTTAGCCAATTCCCTTCCAAAAGGACAACGTTGGTTTGGCCCCACGAAGCCCCGCAGGGTGGGCGACTAACCATCCCGATTTGCCTTGGGACTTTCCGGGCTCAACATGGGTCAGGACTGGGCAAACGGGACGGTCGCTCGGCAGAGCTAAGGACAGGCCCGAGAGGAGAGTCCAGGGCCGCGCGGGAAACTGGTGCGCAGCCGGACACCTCTGTCCCTTAGCAGAAGGAGAAACCGAAGCACCGCAAAGGCCTTGGGGAAGTCCCTTTCCCCGCCCTCCGCGGTTTCTCCATGGCCCGCTCCCGCCCAGGCCGGCTCCTTTGTCCCGGGCCGCGCTCTTCCTGCCGCCGCCGCCTCCTCCTCCTCGCCTCAGGCCGGGCTGACGCGGCCGGGAGGAATGCGTTTCCGGAGGGAGAGGGCGGCGGCGGCAGCCTCTGGAGCAGGGTCGGCCGGGCGGAGGAGGCGGTGCCGCGGGTCGTTTCCTGCCGGGAGGCGGCTCAGGGCGGCCGAATCTCCTCCTCCCGCCCCTGAGGAGGAGGAGCCGCCGCCGCCCGCCCGCCGCGCCCGAGACTCGGGAGGCCGCGCCAGCCCGCGGGAGAGGCCGAGCGGGAGCCGCGGAGCAGCAGGCCCGAGCCGAGCGCCGGAGCCGGACGCCGCCGGGAGAAGGTAAGGGCCGGCGGGCCTCCGGCGGGGGGCGGGGGGCGGGCCGCGGCCTTCGGGCTCCCTTGCGCGGCCCGGCCGGGCTCTTTGTGCCGGGCGTCGCGGCGGGGCTGGGCCGTCCGGCGGGTGGGGGTGGGGCGGGATTCCAGCCCTCGGGCACCCGGGAAGTCGCGCGGGCGCCCGCCCGCCCCGCTTTCTCCCTCAGACATTCTCCCGGCCCGCGCTGGCCCCCTCCTCCGGCGCGGGCGGCCTCGGGAGAGTCGCCGCCTGGGCGCTGTCACGTCGGGGCAGTGTGTGTGTGTGTGTGGGGGTGCTTGTGGAGACCCGGGGTCCCAGACCGACCACCTAGACACCTGCCATTTCTGGCGACCCTGACCTGTCCTGTGGCGAGAGCGCTGAGGGAACGTGTCAGCCCCGCGCCCGCTTGTCCACGCCGCGTCCGGTGTGTGCAGCTGAGGGAGCGACTTCAGGTCTCCGGAGGACTCGACGTTTTAGGAGTGTGAACGCTCCCGGACGGTTTCTGGCCCTTTGTCTCTCTCTTTCTACCGCTGGCTGCCTTTTCTTTGAGCGGCGCCGAGCCTGGCCGTCGGCGCCCGCGGGCGGACAGTCGCTCTTCCGTCGGCGTCCAGAAGGCGAGCGCGGCCGTCGGCGCCCGCGCAGGGGCAGCTGGGCCCGGCCCGAGCAGAAGTTGGCCTCGCGGAGCCGCCGGCGGGCAGAGGCGGCGCGGCGTGGCCCGTGCCTTCCCCCCAGCAGTGCTCGTGAGCCCAGGCTGCTCGCGGTCACAGCCGCCGTCCCCGCACCTGCACCCCGGGACCTCCCCGGGACGGGGGCGAAGGTCGTGCCTCCCCCTCCAGAGTCAGACCCCCTGCGAGGGTTAGAGCCTGGCCGGACCCGGACATCGCTTCACTACGTGTCATTTTTTATGTTTCTTACTAAGTTGCACTTAAGAGAAGCCTAATATCTGATGCCTAAGCAATTTTTATTTCATCCAGTTCGTGCTTCGGAGTCAAAACTTAGCACTCATTGATCTGATCATTAGTAAATTGTACTCTCCAATCCTCCTTTTCCTCATCTGGAAAATAGAAACACTAATAAAAAATGTTATTATTATGATGATGATGATGATTATTTATAACGACAGGTAGGGTCGTGCTTAGCTCTAGGCATTTTGCACGTATTATCTCATTTAATTCTGGAGCCGATCTAATGAGGTAGGTACTGTTTTTATCCTCAGTTTACAAATGAAGAAACAGAAATAGGTACAGGGAATGTAAGAAATATGCCTGTGGTGGTGGTCATCCAGGAGACCCTGGAGAATCCATGGGGTTTGGCTCCACAGCCCATGTTTGGGCCACAAGTAACCTTCCTAGCTGCCGTCTAGTTGTGAAAATCACATGTAAAACATCTGGTTTAGAGTAGATGCTCAATAAATGTTGACTCCTTTTCCTCCCTTCTTGGTATGGTAAAAAGAATTTTAAGATAGCTCAGAATGTAACTGAGAACGTTATTAGTAAGTTTCTTTGAGCCAGCATTCCACATAGATACTTAGGTGGGTAGTTATTTAGGTTGTTTAGCTATTTTTTGTTGTTGTTTTGATGGTACAAAAATAACTCGTGTGAGATGAGTTTTGATTAGACATCTTTCTTCTATTGCATGCACCCTTTGCAATACCTTGTATAATAGACCACTTTTGGAAATGATGAAGGAGTTTTAGTTAGAAGTTAGGTTATATTCTACATTTATGAAGGCCCAGAGGAGGCAGGCCTTACATAAGAGTCCCATTATAATTCTCATAGTTTTAAATAATTTTGGTTCATTGATCAGTATTATGCTGAAGATGATGAAGTGATAAGTAGAAAACAGATTGGTGTTTTTATTACATGCATTTGGGAAGAAAACTGTTTTACTTATCCAATAATTGAGTATGAAATGGAGGTTTTCTATTAGAATGCTACCTAAAAGGAATATGGTTAATGCTTCTGTAGACAGAAAGCAAATAAACTCCAGTATGACTTATCTATGTTAACTCCACAGACCTACAATTTTAAGTGTTCATGATATTGGTTTTTATTTTTTAAAGAATGTGAAGTCTATATTAAGGGTATTTTTTGATCAACATTCTGTACGTGAAAAATACGGAATTAACAATTTTGCAAACCACCGGATTTAGTAACTTTAACAATCAGGCAGTTTTCTTAACTTTCTGGCCAGTATAAATTATATCTTCCCTAAATTACCATCACTGAATAAAAATGTAGTTCTACATTGATAAATTCCTAAGTCTAGGAGTGACATTGGGGCCATCTGGTCCCTTTGTAATAATGAAAAGTAATCAAACAGTTTAATGTTGTACTAGTTTTCATAAGAGTTTCCCCCACTCTACATGGAGAGTTAGGATATGTATGGTTGTATGTGGAATCCTGGAGCATGATATTATGTAAATATGTAAACATCTGAATTACTGTATTAGCAGTGTTTTTTCTGACTTAGGTTATATGTTCTGGGAGTTTTGTTTGAGTCACAGAATAGGGAGGATAAGAGTAGAGAAGAGTACATTAGTCTTCTGGATCCTAACATAATAGTTGTACCAATAGCTGTAGAAAACTAAAAGAATATTACCATATGTTCCTAGGTTAAAGGAAATGCAAGCCATAGAACTCATAATATTACAGTCTTAGGATATTTCAGTAGGTAGGTGAAAAAAATGTGTATCTTTTTTAGGAGCTGTGTGCAAAAGGAGCCAAACTATACTTTGTAAATTTCTCATTGTTTTAAAAATGGATATTTATAAGACTTTCATAAGACAGTGAATTTTTTTTTCTTTTTAGTTTTAAATTTATTGAATTTAAAATAATTTTTTACTTTTTCTTTTTATTTTTTTTTGGCCAAATATGGAGCATGTAGACAGTGAACTTTTATTTATAAAATAATGTGGGTATTTAGAAGTCAGCTGACTTTAAATTTTATTTTTGGTTTGTGGCTTTAGAAGATAGGGTTGACTACATTTAGCAATATGCTTAAGCATGTGTATATTACATCACCATAAAATGTGTGTATGAGAAAAGAAACTGTCAAATACATATTTAAACACACATATTATAAATATGGATGCATGTATCTATTATAGGACCAATCTCATTATACAAATTCTCCAAAACACATGTTGTTGGACCCCAGTGATGTATAAAATGACTTACTGGAGTATAAGAAGAAACTTTTAGGCTTACTGTTTTTTACATATATATGTATTTAAATCTCATCACTTTAAAGTTTAAAGTTTTCATTATGATTTATAATGTCTTACTATATTGGTATAGAAATATACCTGTATTTTAATGTATAAGTAAACATGCATGTATTTTGGGTACATGCATGCCAAAATCTCTTTTGTGATGAAGATGAGTGATCCAAAAACTTTGGAGACCCCTAGTATAGAGGATGATTTGGGTGGAGGTACAAGAACTGACTGCGTTTATGAGACAGAATTGATAAGACTTGATGTCTGAGGTGAGAGAAACGAAAGAAACCCCAGTTGGCACAGGTTTATGGCCAGGCTGCACTGTTTGCCAAGGTAGGCGGTGTGACCACAAGGGGGTGGTGCTGGTTGGCTGGAGGGAGGGGATGAGATGACTGTAATGTCGAGGTTTTTTTAAGGTGACTATGGGACATTGTAGAGATATCTAGAGCACAGTTGAAAACAGAGTGGGAGCTAAAATGACGTCTGGTTGGGAGATTGAGATTTGGGAATTCTTAGTCTGTGAGTGCTAGTTAAAGAAGCTATAGGCTATGGATGAAAATACCAAAGGAGAGTGTAGAGTGAAAAAGAAGCCAGAGAGAGAAGCTGGGAATACTTAAGAGTCAAGGGTGGGTGGAGAAAGAGGAATCTAGAAAAGCATTTTCCTTCCCCAGTTTCTTCTCTGAACTTCTAATTCTTCTGAGTGACATTTTAGCGAGTGACTTGGGTGTTTGAGGGTTTTTCCAGTGATTGACATGTTTGAGGTAAAGTCAGACATCCCTCTGTGCTCAGTTATTTTCAGGCACATTATTGGAGAAGCAGTTTGTAGTGGAGGCTTCTTGATTGGGAGGTGGGAACCTGGGCTTGGTGCAGGCTCTGCCACTGAAGTTCTGTGTGACTTTTGTCAGAATACTGCCCCTTCCAGGGCTTTGGTTTTCTAAATATATCTGCACTATAAAGTGGTCTCTACGTTTCCCCTCAATACATCATTCTGAGTTGAAAGGTAGCTGCCGCCTTGTCTATGCACTGCACAGTGCTGTTCTCTTTCTGCCACGAGCAGCCACTTTCTTGTGTAGTCACCGGAGAGGGAGGCGTGGCACCACGTTACCGCTTGGCAAAGACCTGCCAACACTGGCCAACCGTGTCTACCAGGGTCATCTCTTCATCAGGGCATAGCTCAGTTGTACACTCCATCTTAGTCCATCTGTATGTTGAGTACCAATTACCTGAAAAATGCTGGACTCAGTGGGTGTAAATCAAGAAGTTGATGTGGTCCTTGATGTTGAGTCTAGTTGGGACAAGTTGTGTTCAGTTCAGGAAAATGTAACAAAAACCAAAGGATATTTAACGCTATATACTGTACCAGATAATAGTCACTAATAGTAAAAAGATCAGAATTGGCTTAAGTGGTTTTGCAAGACTTTGTGGAGGAGATGGGGCCTGAGCTTGGAATGGAATGAGCAAAGATCAGGTGACAGATGGGTGACATACTCAAAGGACAGTATGTTAGAAGGCAGAACCCAGTCTAATTTTGCAAATAGTGCTTGGCCACTTTGTTACCTATTAGGAGATGTATCTGTATAAGTATATATATTTATGAAGCATATATATGGAGGCTGGGATTCTTGCCCTCTCTGCCTACTCTGGTGAGGGACACAGACATGAAAGCAATTAGTTATAATAGAATTTTGAATAAATATAATGCTGAAGATTTGTCATCTGCTATACTAGGCACTATCAAGAATATGTTTTGAGACCACAAAGGAAGAGTAGTTAATTTTGTTTATTGTAGTTGCTTAAGAGATGAAGACCAATGAGACCCCAAAAACAGTCAGAAAGGTATAAGAAAAATTAGCATTCTGTTTTATTTAGGCAGTATATTTTCAGTGGAGTGATGTGGAAAATATTTACATGCAAAACTGGGTATGTACCATTGAAGTATAGAAGTCACATTTCAATGAATGTATATTTATTGAGTGAATATGTAAATAACTTAAACTTTCATATTCTTTATGATATTAGGAATAATAATTTATTAGTTTTCCGACATCCAATATTTTATGGTTTATGTATGTTTTAGTTCATATTATGACTTCAGTGTTTATTAAAGGGGTGGTAGTGGGGTCATATCTGTTAGAGGAGGAAGTTGTAGTTGGACAAAAGCAATCTTAGTATTATAATATTAGGAAAATGTTACAAAAAGTATGACCAGGAATAAGATTTATGCTTATTAAAGAAACAAGGGTTAAAAAGATTAAGAAACATTCATTAAATAGGCATACAGGGTCTTATTTTAGATGGCCTGACCAATGAATGAGTTGGAGAGCAAGAAGAAGATTGAGTGAATTATTAATATGAGCTGTAGGTCACTATACAGATATTTGTTACTAAGAGCTTTCACATTCATGATAATATTTTATCCTTCCCACAATTTTTTGGTAGACATTATTTCCACCTTACTAATGAGTAAAATGAGAAATTAAGTGATTTCTCCTTATGTTTGGTTTGGTCCTAAAACATTTATCGTATGTTTAAAATACTGTGTTCACAGCACTGTGCTTCTTCCACTCTGCCACAGACTGGAGAGGAGATATGAGGGAGGATGTGGTCAAAATTAGTTTGATCAAGGAAGCATTTTGGAATGGTCGAGTTAAAAAGTGGATAGAATTAGCAATTTGGAACATAACTCAGAATTCTCCTTAACCAGAATTATGTGGAACAAGCCTTGCTTTCAAGTGCTTGTTGATACCATTAATCAGGATGGTTAACTTTGTTGCTACCTCCATTCACAATTAATAACATCTCTGTAAACTTGCCCCAAAGTAAACTT